ACAAGGACTGTGCATACACTAGGGCGTCCGTAGTGTAGGATAAGCACTGGTAAAAGGTATCAAGAATAGAGTGTCTTGAGGAAATAGCCGGTGTATGGTTATAGCAAGCCTGGGGGGGTAAATTTACCACCCGCTTATGCATGCATTAGGTTAGAAATAGGGGTAAACAACTTGTAACGGTGAAGTACAAGTCCTATGCAGCAAGCAGCAGCCAGCAGCAGCAGCAGCAGCAGCAGCCGCCTGCAGCCAGCAGCCAGCAGCAACCACCAACCAGCAGCCAGCCAGCAGCACCACGCAGCAGCAGCGCAGCATCAAGCCGCAGCAGCAGCAGCACCACCGGCAGCAAGCACCACCGGCAGCAAGCAGCAAGCAGCAGCAGCAAGCAGCAAGCAGCAAGCAGCAAGCAGCAGTAGCAGCGGCGTCGTCAGCAACAGCAGCAGCAGCACCAAGCCGCAACAAGTAGCAAAGCAGCAGCTACAAAAGCGGCAACCAGCGGCAGCAGCAAACAGCAGCAGCAAGCAGCAGAGCGGCAGCAGCAGCAGCACCCTTTACACCAAGCCACCGTTACACCCAACCAACCACGTTCACACGTTCAACCAACCCCCTACACGGCGCAGCTGGGAGTTGAACCGCGGGGGGGGGGGGTTAGCTTGATATATCAATCTTTAAGGCACGCAGCCCCTCCCACCACAACATTGCTAAAGCAAAGAAGAACTCAGCTAGCATGCTAGCTTTCGTGAATTGTCGGACCATCGCGTGCAAAGGAACATCACTTCCCAGTCCCAGACTCCTTCCACTAAATGTCCTGTGTTTTCACAAGGGAGTACCCTCTCATGGAAGTGGACGGCATGGTCCCTTGGAAGACTTAGTTTCCTCTGCAAACAGGGGATTGACAACTTCCATGGTATGGTGGTATGACAATAACACGGACAAGCCACGACAAGCAGCGGCTCATCCTATGCCAGATCCACGAGGAAGGGGTCCAGGGGACTGAGCCGTACAGCAACATGGCATGGTACAGCAGTAACAGTTGAGGAAAATGAGTCATACAAAGGTACAAACAGAACACAGTACAAATACAATGAATGAAAACAAGTACAAATTTGTGCAATAGTAACAATCATATAGTAATACCCTGCTGAGAAAATCACCTCTGTCTCCAGCGCCCCAGTCTTCGGCCAACGTCTGCGCTACAAGTGGATCGAAACTGACGTTGTTTTGTTGATCGATGATGGAGCAGTCCAGAGCTCGATGTTGCCCAAAAATCGTTCGTCACTCTGAGGATGTCCTGAAATGAGCGAGCTTCTCTGATCTTCCATGCCCAGGGAAAGTCCGCCCAATCGGGTGATATGTTCTCAGCGTCATCGGAAACTTGCCGCTTGGAAGGTTTCCCTCTTGCATCCAAGCAGGCAAGACTTTCTGGCTCGCAGTGAGACATTCGTATTTGTGCTTGACAAGGCCTTCGCGTTTTTCAAGGGGTTCTGGCCACCAATCATTGGCTCCAGCGCTGATTTACACTCAACCAGTCATCCTCCAGTCCGGGACGCATACCACACAACCAAAAAGCAAAGGGATTTGTCTGTGTGTGCTTTTTCCACGTAATGTACTAGTAACTAGTATGGACAGCAACTTTAAACTCAGTGTCAAAGAGCTTGCCCCGAAACTCTGTCGGAAGTGTTTGGAAGGTGAGGCCTTCTGAAACACGGGTGAGTTTGGCCGGGTCTGGCTTGGAGGCCCCCTATCCTTCATCTTATTATCATATGGGCCAGGGATGTCTTTATTGTAATTTATGTTCTAGATCTTTTAATAAAATCCCTGGCATATATATATAATTTAATGTCAATGCGGCAGCTATTATTTATTATATCTCTTATCTGCTGCCCAAATAATGATAAGATATAATATAGGAAAAAGATATAGAAGAAAGAGATATAGCCATAAATTTATATAGAATCACAAGATATTAATTTATGGGATTTTTCCATATCTTTGCCGTCGTTTTCTTAATTGAAAAAAGATGAAAGAAAGAATCCATAAAAACGAAGGCATAATTCATGATATGTCTATTATATTATTACCTATCTTATTATATTTTTACTTATGCCCACTTAGATAAAGAAATACCATAAATTAAGTGGGCATTCCAAAAGAGCCTTGCATGGCAGCCCTTACAGTGGAAGTGTGCAGTCTACTTGAATGGGTGACAAACAGTATTGAACACATCCCAAGATTGTCCTCTCTCGTCCCCGCTTCCAATCTTTGCACTGCGCCTGAAACATGTGGAACTGGAACTTCTTTCAATACCAGCAGAGCAAGATCAAGCAAGAAAACTTAAAACACGGTGGAGTAAAGAGAAAAGACGGCACCCCTTGAGTCCTCTTCGGCTTCCTAGGCTCCGGGCCCGAATCTGCGGCTCCAAGGCCCAAAGCTGTCGCACCTCCGTCGGTTTCAGCTGGGAAGAAACTCAATGGGTCGTTCTTGCAGCTTTCCTGCTCCTTCGGTGAAAGCTGCAAGGAACCAAGGACATCGCTAACAGAAAAGACGCTACTAGTAGCTCCTGGCATTACTAGTAACAAGAAGCTACTAGGAACAAAGGGCATCGCTATTAGTAGCAAGATCCAAATGGCGTCACGTGGAACTTGGAGCGATGAATGGAAAGCTGAGGGTTGTCATTGGTTGTCGGTGTCGAATCGGTCATTGGACATAGGCATAGGGAAAATGGCTTCTGGGCATAGGTGTCGGTTCATCCTGATCTCCTCACGAAATGTGCGGAAAAACTCTGTGTTGGATTGTGAGCGTGCTCATAATCATGCTCATTTGGTGGGAAAAGCTGAAATGGTTTTGAATGGTTTAGAGCTCATGTTTTGACCCTCCTCTGAATCATCCTGCCTGGACTATCCAAGGGGTGTTCAATGAAAGCCGAGTCTGGTATTGGGTGGTGTAGGGTAGTCTAGTCAAAAGTGTGCTGGACAACTGCCCTTTTCACAGCTCGACATGAAACGAAGCTTCCATCGAAGCAATCTCACGACGCTTTCGTCGAATGACCGACCAGGTGATCGACCGGTGAATGGTGCATGGATCGATGGGTTCTTCCAGAGCCCAAGGACCCAGGTGGTCCCAAATGGCGAAGAAGAGGCAGTGCATTTCACCCAACTCTCGTCCTCTTTCTGAGGTACTTGCAAAAAGCTGGAGATGACCCATACCAATGATGTTACCTGGATATATCCAGCACTCCTTTATCCCTTCCCCGACCCAAGAAGCTGTCAAATCGCCTCTGCTGCAGTCAAGCTGTCCCTGATGTTGTGGATGTGCTTGGAGGCAATGCACAGAATGGCGGACATCTTCTGGAGTCGGGCAAAGCGGAGTGGCACAAAGCGTGCCAAAGCCGGTCTCGGTTTGAATGGAACAGTATGGTCTCCATTGTATGGCCACCCTGCCCCATTTGAAGGCCAGAGAATACCACTTCGAGGGGAGATCCGGAGAAACACACACGCTCATGTGCTCACTCCTTGTTCGCTTTGCCCGTCAGGCCGTCGGGGTAATACCTAGGCAAATGGGCCGTCGAAGAGTCTTCCGGTCAGGCCAGGTGGCCAGGTGAACATAAACCGATAGCACACTTGGGTGTCCAACCAGCTAGTGAGCTCTTGTTGGTTTTCTCTAGTACCCAGGTGCTTCAGGCAGTCCCTAGTCTTGAGCCCAGCTGCATTGACCCTGTTGAGATGGGAAAAGTGAAAAATGTCGTGTCTCCAGATGCCTCGCCGTCTTCAAAGGTGAGCCCTTGCGAAAAATCACCGTTTGCGGACCACCACTAAATCTTGCTCCGGGATGGTGCGGGGTGGTTTGCTTCCGATGAAAACCTTATTCAAGCGCCTCATTGATTCTTGGAGAAGACCACTCCTCATGGGGTTGACCGCTGTCTTTCGGTAGAGGAGCGTCTCACCCACCCCGGCCTCAGAATTCAGGTATCGGAGGTAGAATCCACCCATAAAATTCTTCATATGCGCTGGAGGCCATCGCTACTAGTAACAAGAAGCTACTATATAATAGGTGGAGGCCATCGCTACTAGTAACAACAAGCCACCCAGTCACAGTCACACTTTGGGCAACAAGAAGAACACTGTCACTTCCGTCAAAGCAACCGTGGGACCGCCCGGGTGCCCCGACCACCCGTGGGTGACGCACATCAAGCGCTTGGAGTCGGGGAGTAGAAAGAGCTGACTGCGATCCTGGCGATTCGCGCGATTCGATTGTGAGGGATTCAACGGCACACCTGGCACGGCCTTTTGTCACCCATTGGCACCAAAGGTTTCACGGAGGACTTGGATTCCGTTTTCAGGACACCCCAACGGAACACATGTCACGAAACACCGAAATGAGGTTCGAGAATGTCCGTCGTCCTTAACGTCGGCCTTTCGGTCGGTCATCCAAAGTCGGTCTTTCTTCCGGTGTCCTTGGGCGGCCACTCGAGTTTCACCTGGCCCGTTGGCGAGTTCCGCCGAGTTCCACGGCCCAAGCGGTGGCCAACATGGGAGAGATTTTGCTGCTCTGCCAGTGGTAAAGGTCAAAATATCCACAAAAAGATTTTTGAACCTAACCGCGATGTTCGAAGGTCGCTTCGGGCAACAATCCAAGAAGAGCCCGGCATCGATGTGTATATTCAGCCTGATGGAAATACGGCTATCTCCTGGGCCTGATTCTGAAATCACAACACTAAATCAAGGCCTCAAACATTAAAGGGTCGAATTGTTTTACAAATCAATCACTCAACCATCTCAAGTAAAATTCACGGTTCAGCTTTGCAAGATGCAGCACCCTTACCTACATGTCCACAGAATCAAGCACCCAAAGCCCATCCAGGAACCACTTCTTGGAGATGCCAACAAAAACTGATGGTGTAAAGTTTGTGTTTGTGATGCTTGACAATAAGGTTGAGGAAAAGGAGGACAAACGTGAGCACTAAACCAGGAAGGCCTAGGCGAAAAAGCTTGGGGAAGAGCACGACAAGTATGACTCGACATCCACGAAGGTCCAGGCAGACCAACTGCATTGGCCAAAATATATGTGTCTTTATGCTTACTGCCATATCACCAAATCCTGTTATGTCTACTGGTATTTCATTGTGTCCATGATTGTTGTCGTCGCTTCGCTTAGAAGCACTCAAACATACGGCAATATTTTAGATGTCCTTTGGATTTGTTTGGAACCTTGAGTTGAATCTTCCAAGATCTTTCTACATGTACCTGAACGTGTGAGTATGTTCTTGTCTTTGGGATTGTTTGAGCTTCCAGGATCAGTGTTACAAAAACAAGACACCCGTCCAAGGTTTTTACACACGATTGTGACGCGCCCAAGGTCGAAACCAACGAGACACATCATTGAGGTCGAAGAGTCCACGGAAAATCACTCGAGACACCTCGTTCGATCACAATCAGGACACAGATTCAAAGCCCCCTTCGGGCTTGTCCAGGCTTCAGTTTCTGTGAAGAGGCTCCGGCTTTTACAAATACAAAGATTGTGTTGGTGCCCCTTAGGTACCTGATTCGGTACAGAAATCTACTGAGGGGATATTCCACGTTCCCATGTTGCATAGCACAACTTGGGATCTAAGAAATAGGACTGACACAAAGCATGCTCCCTCAATGGTTTTTCGCAACATGTGCCTTTTCTGTGGTCTTTTTCTGAGTCTTCCGAAATTCTGACCTTGTCCGTGTGCTGTGCCCCGTTCCACGGTGAGGGGATGAGGAGATAGATGTTCAGCGAAGTGTCATGTATCGGCCGCCGGGGCCTTTTCATCGGATTTATGTCACTGCTGGACCAATGGCTGGTTTTGTTGAAAAGCATGATCTCTACTCCAAGAACGCTTTCGCTGCAAGACTTCTGGAACAAATTCGCAAACAGCTGTGGCCTTTCTCACGATCAACGAAGGGAGCTTCAGTTGCTTGGTGTTGGCCATCCTTTTTCTCCAGTCATTTCTAGCAAAAAAGAACCAAGGAAAACCGGAGATCGACGTTCAACACCGGATATCGCCCGGTGCGCTCAACCACACGGACGGCGCTCCTGGCCTCCGTGGGCATGTGGTTGAACTGCGGCCCATGTCGTCCGCCCTTGGGATGGGTCCGCCAGCGCCTCTGCACAGCGTTCACCTGGGTGAACGAAGAAGCGAGCCGCGGTGAGGTGAAAACACGAAGAAACCGCCGGAAGAAGCCAAAGAATCCTGCCAAGGGGTTCCATTGAAAGCTCAAGAAGCCTCTCTTCATCCCGTCCCTGCCATAATAGGACCCTGGAAGAGGTTCGGTTTCGAAACTACAAAGTAGCTGAGCCCCTTTGTAGCTGAGCCCCTTTCTGCCCCTCTTCGCCTGCAGAAAGGCTCCGCGTGGAGCTATGCATCTGCCAGCATTCGCCAAAAGATTCATGGCGACAGCGGCGCCCCGAAACACAGTCGGGAGTTTCTTCAACCGGAGCCGGGGTTGGAGAACGCTTCAAGTGGAGAGCTCCGAAATTCTGCAACAACCGGCAGGGAAATGTTATATATATATATACACATTATATTATATATATATATATTAGATGCTTATATCATGTACGTATGTATATAGCAGTATTATATACGAATCATATATATATATATAATGTTACATAATTTATATAGCTATATGTATGTATTTATTGTTACATTGCAGTACATAATATATCACAGTATTATATTATACGGCCTGTTGATTGATTGCTGGGAGCTTCCGCAATCACACACGAAACCTCTTTATGATATTGTTTGATCTGCAAACGGCCTTGAGAGTGAACGAGACATTGGTCAGTGTCGTCTTCAAATGGTGCCCTCCGAGTGAGCTTGGTGGGAGCAGAACAATGGCATCTGCTACTGTCTTGCATTGGGCTGCTGACAAATGATGACACTTTGCAAAATGATGCAAAATGTGTCTTTTCCATCCACGAAAGCACACCAAAACGAAGTGAAGATGGAACGTCGCGAACGATGTGAACGTAGCGAGGCGGTCCACCGAACTGGATCGAACTTCCTCAGGGCTTCGTCGAGAATTGCGAAAGGTCTGCGATGGAAAAGCATTGACCTGGTAGCAACTCTGACTCGTTACCTTATCAGTGCGGAACCGACTCACAAAGAGAAAACAAGCAAAAAAGGCGGCAAGGCCCACATAGATCCTATGAACCCCCGATCCTTGAACACCCGATCCGACCTAGGGTCAAACTATCCTCACCGTCCAGATCGTCAGCAATGCAGCTTTTTCCGGTTTGCCCCACAGGGCCCGGCAAGTGCAGATGGAGACAGACCGTCAATGCCTTTGGCATGTCTGTAAACCACGGCGGGCTGAGTCTGTGACATCCGATACGGGAGTCGTTGGGATGGAAGGCCTGGTGCTCTGTCTGACTTTCGAAGCCGCTTTCTGTCAAGCCGCTTGCAGTTGGTGATTCAAGGAGGGAAATGAATTGATCTTCACGGTTTGGGAGTTTCACATTCTTTAAGACATAACTGACATACCCAGGTCTTGTGGACCAGTGAAAACACGTTGCCTGGACAACCTCGGAGATGATCAACTGCATTCGTTGAACTCCAAGCAGTCAGGGAAGTCCTCCAAACCAGTAGCATCTGGGACCCTCCAAAGGACCAAAGAAAACCTGGCAGCCATGCTCTTGCCGTAATGGTTCTTCTTTCGAAGAACCCGGGTTTGGCCAACGTGGCGACAAATCGAGATCCCTCGGCCCACCTCAGAGAAAGTCTACTGAAGCGCCCAGTGCCGATCGAAGGCGATCTCGGGTCTCAGATGATCTCTGCGTGCAGGGAGGAGGCCTGTGAAAGCAACAGCGATGTGGGGAGCGACGGTGTGGTCAGCCATGGTCAGCTCCTCTATCTCCGGAAAGGACCGACTGCGGGTGCTTGTTTGATTTAGTAGTATGCAGGGGTTGAGAATATTATACTGAACTGAACATTTAATAAGTTAAGTATCGTATTATTTGTATCAGTGATACGAAATGACAATCTTCAAAAACAAAAAAGTTAGAGCAGTCAATGAAGTCTTCGCTAAAATAGCACCGCCTACAAGAATGCGGTGAAAAATGCCAAATGGTCTATCAAAAGTCCATGTTCGTTATATTTATATATGTCTGTTCGACTGAGATGCTTCACAGTTTCATTTTCACACCGTCCAGGGCGTCTTTCAACATCCGGACCATTTCTGACCAATAGCCTGCCTCTACCCATCAAGGATTGAATGGTCCGGATCTGCCCCAACCATCAACGGTTGACTTCTGGACCACCCCTCCGCGACCGTCCGCACCACTGACGACCGATGAGGACCGTGCGCACCACTGGGATCTTCGGCGAAGTGGGGGGGTGAAGTCCGTTTCTCCGACACTCTCTGCAGGAATGATTGACAAATGGAAAACGTCTTCCGCTGCATCAATAAAAATCGTCTTCCAAAGAGGTCGGACGTGTCCACTTCCATGTTACACTCTTACGCTGGAGTAGTACACTCCAAACTGGTCAAACAGGTCTTCTGCACCAGTCAGGCGGCAGTTCTGTTCCACGCAGTTTCCCAACGCTTGGATTGATCCGTCTCGCTTTCGCTTTCCATCAAGTAATGGTACACATCATACATCCCAAATGATTCCCGGATCAGCAAAAAGAAACGTCTGGGGCCGACTGGGCATTCTACAGTAGCTCTCCCAACCCCTTCCAACGAAATCGCTAAACACTTCCAAACCCAAATGGCTCGTTCGACGGCCGAACTTCCCGCCCTTGTTTAAGGGGGCGGACCAACCCCATTGCGTCTCACCACCGAGCCCGTCATCCCGCCTCCGACTGTGGCGAGGGCGCAGCCGTAAGGCCCACAGGGCCCGACACATCGCCGCTCTCCTGGCAGAAGAACCTTGAAAGGTCGGCATTTCTACATGCAAGTAACCGGTATACCTTAATTGGGTCAAATGACCAGTATGGGTGGTAAAGGCCTTGTTCAAAAATGGTGTAATATAATCGTTTACTGACTGTTGCAGGTAATAGGACAAACCCAAGGTATACCTCAAAATCCATATGAGTGAATGGCAGATGTTTGTCCAAGTCCAGTGGTGAACCCCCCCCAAAGGTAGATGGTGCTATCTCTTTAAACTTCTTCAGGATGAGGCTATTCTTGACAGTGCGAAGATGCACAAAGTCAGCCATGTGCAATGGCGTTGACGTGGACGCCCCGCGACAAAAGTATCACACAAAGGGAAGGGATGAAATGGCTTTGACAGCGGCTGATCTTCCAACGCGTGGGGCTCGGAACCTCAAGGTATGTTCAGTGCGATCTCCCATGTCCATTGCCATATGGTTTACACAGTTTCACAAGTGCCCTTTCCTGAACATGGAACATGGACCCATTTTGGCTATGACTGAAAAAGGCAGAACTATGCAGAATTAAAAGCCGAACTATACAAAAGACTAGGAACAAGAAGCTACGAACGGGGCTCCTGGCATCGCTACGAACGGAGCGACCGGACGCGAACCGAACGGGGCTCCTGGCCTTACTACGAACGGAGCGATGGGACGCGACTCGAACGTAGCAAAAGAGAGTTCTTTTTGGTCCGAGTGATCCGATGCGCAACTCTCCACTCGCGTGGGAAGACATCGAAGTACTCGATGGCGCCGCCGTCCTCAGATGCCCCTCGTCCAGTCCCCTGCTCTTCCTGGCATCGTGGTTTCGCAGGGAACTAAGGGGATTGTAGCTTCAAGGCTTGGGGAGAAACCTTCTTTCGTAGGTAGTGTGGGCAAAAGATGATGCTTTGCTGCTTGGCTCCTCAAGGAGTATTTCGAGCGGTGGATTTGATCTAAGACTTCCAATCTTTGGCCTGCCGAGTTCTGACTTCGAGGTTTGCATATCTGCGAGACGCGAGACGTTCTCATGTGAACGAACGAGCGGCTCGGCCACGTCGTTCACGACGTGACCGGCACCAGGCCTCCCATGTTCACCGGTTGGGACAGACCACTCACTCCCCACTCAGACCGAACAGGACAGGTGAAGATCTCATTGGAGAGTTCACGAGCCAAGAGAGTCAAAGGAAATTGGGAGAGCCAAGCCATCAACCTAGTTTGGTGGAAGAGGCCTGGATGCCCCTAGTAGCTTCTTGTTCCTAGGAATAAGGCCAGGAGCCCCTAGTAGCCGTCTTCAACCTAGTTTGGTGGAAGAGGCCTGGATTTGTAGAGGAACGTGTCTTTCAAAAAGGCTTGGATGGTCGCTTTGGGAGTATACACGTTTTCCTGGTCAAGTTTCTGACCAAAACAACTCAACAACTGTCGTTGGGATACAAAACCCTTGTCCGGACCACTGGGAAGTGCAAGCCAAAACGATGCATGTTCAGTGACCGGCGAGTTCACACACCCCGGTGGGGTCTTGTGGAGCCTGGTGGCGCCCTCCGTTGTGGGCTCACCCTTTCGCTGCGAGATCTCTCACCCCGTCTCACGGGCAACTGACCCAGTCACGGAGGGTGAGTTGTCCAGTCGCAGGTGGCGAATTGCTTGCAGTGGACAACATGTGGCCACCATGGCCCTTGTGGCCACCATGGCCGCAAGTTTACCTTCCTCAAAACGACAAGTCCCCACTTTGCATTGGCGACTGTGGCTTGGTCAAGACCTGTGTCAGTCTCGCCTGACAGTGCTTCATCTGCTACAAGAAAGAGCCACCAAAAAATAATCTACATGAAACATCAAGGGACGGCTTTGCCTTGCTGTACCATTCACTGCATGGCTAAGGTGGCTGCCATCATCGGAGTGTCTGACAGTGTCACGGAGGATGGAAGATCTGCAATCTATTCAGTCTCCCTGGTCAAGTCTTTGCTGCCTCGCCGCCATGGTCAATGCTTCCAGATGTGTCATCGTTTCTGAAGAAAAACCTTCCCCATGGGGCGTCCTTCTTCCTTCGGCTCCGGTGAAAAACGCTGCATCCCCGGAGTTCGCTGCCTTCAGGCTTCGCTGGTGTTTTCTCGGTCTCCAACCCCATTGCTCTCCTGACCAAACCCCCTGCAATTGTCCCTACGGCCACTAGAGGTAACTTGAATCTGCAGTTAAAGAAGGCAGATGAAAATGATTGAAGATTGGGCATTCGGTCTTTGTGAAGTGCGGTCGTCAAAAGGGCGTGTCTATAGACACCGTCTTCGAACATCCCGAAAATGAAGAGTCCCCACACCATTATCGGGGGGGTTGCTCTTGACCCCTCCTCCATCTCTTCCAACATCACACTAAGAAATACTAAAAAGTGACTCCTGCACGTTCCACCTCGTTCCACCTCGCTCCACTTCGCTCCGTCACATCTGCCTCCCGCTTAATCTCTTGCAACAGCCTCGCCCTGCGAAGAACGCGGCGTTCGGACGGGGGGCCGAAGTTCGGTCGGTGGCGGTGCGGTGAGTGGCGAGTCGGGTGTTGCGTACGACACCGTTTCACTCAAGCAAAGACACACTCTGGCGA